CTCATTGCCAGTTATCGCAAACGCTTGATTGCAGTTGTTGCTGCTAAGGGTGGCCCAACCAGTTATTAGGTTTAGGGGGCAATCACTTTTTCACACAGGGCCATGTAGGTTTGGATTTTTTTCCCCCTTAATAATAAAAACCTTCATTTAAAAACTGCATTTTGTGTTTACTTGTGTTATCTTTGTCTAATATTTAAATTTGTTTGATGATCTGAAACATTTAAGTGTGACAAACATGCAAAAAAATAAGAAATCAGGAAGGGGGCAAACACTTTTTCACACAACTGTAGATATTGAATGAATGTTTGTAAAAGTCTTTGAAATGCAGACTCCGGCTAGTGCTGCTGTGTCATGCTGACCAGCAACACTGTATGCCAGTAAGGAAGTGGAACAACGGGCTATTCACAGAGAGCGGTGCTCCTGTGGGAAGACAGTCCTCTACGGCACACGTGTCAAACTCAAGGCCCGCGGCCCGAATCCGGCCCGCCACGTCATTTTATGTGGCCCGCGAATCCACCAGCAAAAAAAAAACAAAAAAAAAAACGTTTTTTGTTTTTTTTGGATTTTGGAAAAAAAAATTAAAGTTAGACTTGAAAATAAAAATATCCCCATGGTCGAAATTATGAGATAGAAAGTTGTGAAGTATTATCACCGTGGCTGGACATTGATTACTTGTCCTCCTAACAGTCACTTGGTAACAATATGGTTAATTAGTTATTACCTTTTTTTTTAAAACAGGTGGACAGGAGAGGGAACAGACCGTAAAGAGGTTTTCCAACAAGTGATTGAGTTGAAAAAGATGACAAATAATCCCAAAATGTCCACGAAGAGAAAAATTGATGCAGAGGGAAGAAAATGTAATTTAAGATGGGAAAGCGGATACATGTCTGTGCTTCAGGGAGAACAACGGGTCTGTCTTCAGTGTTATGAGGCAGTGTCGGTGATGAAGGATACAATTCACGTCGGCATTTTGACACCAAACACGGAGCTACATTTAGCCTCCAAGAAAAACATCAAATTGTCCAAGAATGAAAAGGCAGACTGCAATCACAGCAGAATATATTTACACAAGCTACAGCCCAGTGCATGCTAAAGGTATGTGAGCAGGTGAGCTCCGGCCAGATACAGATTTTTACAAATGTCAGTTTGTGAAGAAACACCATCGCAGACCGAGTTCAGGAACTAGCAGCAATCTAACAACACAGCTAGCTGAGAGACGAGATACATCATCTATCAATGTTCATAAGAGGCTCAAGGCAGACCTGACTCTCAGTGAGGAGCTCTTGGATGTAGCTGCCATGCACGGGACGACGGCAGGGCAGGACATTAGTGATGCAGAGAGGTGACAAAAATAGCTTTGAACAAAGTCAATGTAATAACTTGTTTGATATTTGTCTTTGTTATTTTCTTTAACAGTTTGATCTTTGATAGAGTAATGTGGGTTAATTAACCCTAAATTAAAATGATTTATGTTATAATAACAGAAATGTGCTTAAATATATTTTTACATTTATATAACTGCATGTACAATATTTTTACACTTGAATAAACAATAATCAAAAGCAGAGAGTTATTTAACAATATGTTAGGAGTAGTTACAGTTATACAGTCTTACAGTTACAACCGGCCCTTTGAGGGCGACCGTGATGTGATGTGATGTGGCCCAGAGTGAAAATGAGTTCGACACCCCTGATCTACGGCCATCTGTTGCCTTATCTCTCACTTAATGGAAATGAACCCTTTATATGCATGTCCAGTGCAGTGGTGTTACATCGGCTGTCTCATCGAGTATGTATTTTGTTATTCTGGGGAGAAAATAGATGCAGCCTGTAGAGTATTCTTTAAGAGTGCAGATGGGAGAAATTATTGATAAGCAATTAAATGCCGCTGTCAGTTGATTTGTATCACTGAATGCGTTTGTATATTGGGCTGGAGTTTAGGGGTATTTGCATAATGCGTGTGTTTTTTGTGAGGGTGGGGGCACAGGAAGAAAGAGGTGAGGAGGAAAAGAGAAAGATATGCGCATAGAAAGAGACACAAGGGGTTGGTGAGAGGGCCATAATGTGTATTACTCACCTTGATGACTTTAGGCTTCTTCCTCCCCCTCCTTCTTCCCCTCCTCCCCACCGCCTCAAGGCCGAGGCACTGCCTAAACTCATTTGCATAAAGTGATACAAAAGGGAACTGCCAGAGCAGGACAGGTGATACTGGCCAACAGTCACAGAGGAAGGAGGACCCAGAGCTGACACTCTCATAGCAAGCTATTACACAGCCTCAGAACAACCCCACACACACACACTTAAACACACCTGCGACTCCAGCAGAGTACTCAGACCAGCAACAGAGGAGGACCTTGGCTCAGAAGGTGGTTGACTTTGTTGCCAGGGAAATGCATTTATAGTGCAAAGCGAGTGAGCTGAGCCCGGCCGAGCTGAGAGAGGATCATCTGATATCTTCTTCAGTTGACAGGTAAACTGAATCTTTACTCTGAAGCTTTTGTGCTTTTTGCACCAGTTTGTGGTTTTCTGTTTGTTTTCATTTAAGCAGTTTCTTTTAAAGTGAAGACCATAAATGACAAATGTCAAAAGATTTTGCAAAAAACAATAAAACTTAACTCCTGACTGTTGGATTCATCCATAATAAATTATGTATTTTCTTATTATTCCTTTACCTTTAATCAGTTACAAATAAATGCGACCGTGCACATTTTTTGCCACTGAACCAACAGAACCCCAGTGGCAGCTGCTCCAGTCAGTAGTCACATTTCATGAGTAGCTTTCTTTATATGCAGTTAGGATTGTCTGTACCGTTTCCTGCTTTGCCTGTCTGTGTTTGCACATGTGCTATCTGTACACGCTGAGGTCTGTTTGTGCCTCAGTGTCACGTTCAGTTAAACTGTCAGCAGCAGTTTAACACCCCCCCCCCCCCCAACCCCACCCGCAGGTCAAACAGCAGGTAGATCAAGTTTCATATACTGTTCAAACTGAGAACAGGTAGGGCAGCATTGTGGATGACAGTTGAGCTAAAGACTCACACACACCGCTGAGTCTGACACAAAGGGGTTGAAAAAAGCAAAGAAAAAAAAAAGAAGCAATATTACATGAAGCTTGAAAATAGTTCTTCAGTTTGTTGACCGACAAGCTGAGATTTGAATACCAATGTGTCAGTAGGACAGGTGAGGAAAATGTGCCACTGATAGTGACAAAGGACCATAAATGGAAGCACAAAGCAGAATGCAGTACAAAGACAGCAAAGGGACCTAACCCATGTTTGAAGTTGGTATTTTGAGGACATAAGTCTGAGTTAATATTTGACTCAGCTCTACATTTAGGGTTAAGCCTTTAGTTTGACCCCTAAACCAGATGATCTGACTTTAGACAATTTGTTTTTTTTAATGACAGCATTACTTTAATGTGCTTTTTTCATCTTACTTGGTCGTGTAAATAGACAGTACATAGATTAAACCCACTCAACCTTATAGTGAGACTACTATATGATAAATGCTAAAACATGCTGTAGCAGCTGCACTAGTTGGAAAAAAAAAAAAAAAAAAACTGTCAAGTCAGTGAACCAAATCAAGCTACAAAATATTTTAACAGGAGCCAACATTAGCTCGCTTAAACTACTGGTCATACCAGTCCATGTAAGGCTGTAGCAGCAAAGTGTACTGATTGGAGCAGGGTTGCATTTAATTGCTCATGAATTCAACTTTTTCATTTTTAAAAACAAGAATGAGTTATTTCTTCTTTAAAAACGGGGACACATTTGACTTCACAGTGGAGAGGTTAGACTGTGTTGTTGTTCAGTGCTGGTTGATTTACTTAGTGCTCATTCTACAGGTAACATGGCCCGGGGCTTTGGAAAACCATCTCTCCTGTTTAGAGGTGCAATGCGTAAAATATGGCTGGAATATTTGTTTAAAGCATTAAAAAAATGAAGTGATATCTTCAACAGAATGTGAAGAAGTTACAGTGTTGACGATGTGTCAATGACGTCTTTGTACTGTGTACTGTACAGTAGAAATATATCTACTGAAATGAGCATGCTAACCAGCTAGCCCCGAGTCCATCCTGTCTTGTAATACCACTTCTTCCTCTGGAGGCGATAGTGAGTTACTGTAGCTCTGCTACAGTCGCACATCCGTGGCCCGTGTGCATCCATCTCAACTGAAGTAAAAAGCAAAGTAGTTGTTATAAGAGACTTTTATGGTAACCATTTCAGATATCCAATTTAGGTATTTATTTGCTTTCATGTATTTCTCGCAGCTGTACTTAGCACACTTAAGCAGCCTCATTTCAAAACGATGCGAAACTGTATCAATATTTGAATCCTCAGACTTCCTTGAATTTTTCATTTAGCTGCGCTCTCACTGGAAGCAGGTATTTTCCCCTTAGTGGTTGGTGAGGCGGGGTTAATAACAACAGTCCATCACGGTGAGTTACATTTTTATCTGGATACACAGGAGGAGGCTCCAGGAAATGACTACACCAGATAACAACTTCAATCTGAGCAATAGGGAAGTTTAGTCTGGATCAGTGATTAGCGGAGGCTTAAAACTGATAAAATGGGTGTAATTTTACAGAACAACCTATCCTCATCCCACTAAAGCATGTTTGAATTCAGAAGAGACGAAGAGAGAGAGAGTTGACGGAGCAGGAATTTCAAGGGTAGATGGAGCGATTAGACGGAGAACAAGTAGTGACTTTGTCTAGATGGGAGTACTGGGGCAGGACTAGCCCTAGGGGCACACAGAGGAGAGCACCTGTGTTCTGACTATCAATCATCCCGAACACACAGTCTACTTCACATTATTGACCGTCGTATATACCCAACCCACAGTTCGAGTAAGCAGGTTATCAACATGCAATATTCTTATCATAGATCTAAGAGAATTAGACAAGGAGACCATTCTCAGAAGAAATTAGTAATTTGGCCCCAGAGACTTAACTGTCCAAACCGGCAGGTCCAGGTGACCTACAGTGACCCTAAACCTGGTCTAATAAAGTCTGTAATGTTCCTGTACTGTGCTGTCTGATACACATGCTCAAAAAGTCACAATAACAAAGCAGCCTATGTATCTCCCCGATTCTGTTCCAGGTAAGCCAACATACTGACTCACCCAAAAAAAACTTTCATCAGCTGTTCGATGCGAGAAGGGTCAAAGGACTCCCTGACCCAGCTGGTGTATACGGCTGCACGCTATGCTGACTACCACTATAGACAAACTGCTGGAAAATTTACATACAACAGAAATCCTAATATTCAGGTGTCACCTGGAGGGGGCAGTGAATTTCAAAAGCTTAAAATAGCTAGCAAAATAACACTTGGGTTATACGTTTCAAATGAGAATTTACAAAAGTATTGGGCAGATAAGCCCCAAACAATGCATTGTACAGATTGCATCATTCCTCATCAATTACAGAATGTACTGTGAAGACCACAGAGTTTGCACAGGTCACAAGCAAGCAAAAAGCCCCCAGTGTCATGTTTAATCAGCTGACCCAATCTACCCATTACACTTGGCAAATGACTAGAATACAGCAGGGTCATTCACTGGTCAAACATTACAACACTAAACCATGCCAACAGAGGCTCTTACTCCTTAGAAATCCATGTTGGCAACACAACATATGGGGTGGACTTTGTCCTTTACGTTCCTGTCTTGGCATGTCATTGACTATTTGTGTTTGTTGGTGTTGCTTTACTAAATCCACAGAATAACTGGACTCATTTGTCCCATTTTGCATCACATTGTACTTTTTCGAATTACTCATTTACAGACGAAAATCCCGTTAGCCTTGCAATATTATCTGTGCTGTGTGTGTGGGTGAAAAGAGTTGAAGGTAAACATTCCACTTGGCTGTATAGAAATGTGCACTGATTGACTGAAATCCTGTTAACTTGTTGACATGATGGTTGTACGGTTTTGTCTGTTTGATACAAGCAGCAAAATACCATCTGCAATATGAAATCTAAACTGTACTTGTCATCCGTTCTCTTTCAAGACAATTCAGAAGTTAAGGACAGACCAAGAAGAGGAAAGAAAGGGCTGACTAGTCCAAAGGAGACTTAAATAAACAAAGAAGAGGAGAGGCTTCTATTTCTGAAGATGGAACAGTCTCCGCAGATTTGGCACATGCAGCTCGCCCCCCAGGACACTGCTGGAGAGCTGAATAAGAAGAAGGTGTCAGTCGTGAGCCAGCCGGAGTGCTCCATCTGCTACAACACCTACGACAACGTCTTCAAAACACCCAAGTTGCTTGAGTGCACCCATACCTTCTGCCTGGAGTGCCTCTCCCGCCTCATGGCGGTCTCGCTGGCCGACCAGGACGGTAAAGACGCCGGCAATCGCCTCTCTTGCCCCTTCTGCCGTCACCCCACCACGCTGACGGAGGACGGACCTCCAGCCTTGACAACCAGCCGTGAGGTTCTCTGCAAGCTGCCCAGCCACCAGCAGCAGGAGGAGCCAGTGTGGCTGGAGGGGGAGAAGCTTTGCTATAAAAGCTCCGTGCACGACGCCGACACGGGCACCCCCGAGAGCTCCAAGGCCTTCTGCATCTGCATAGACATTGGGGCCAACAAGACAGTGGATGCTCCGATCCAGACGCAGCCCCGAACTTTTGGCCTGCTGGACCGGCTGGCGGACTGGAAGAGGATGGTGCTCTTCAGCGTGCTCATGGTGCTGCTTGTTGTAGTCGTGTTGTGGCCATTGCAGTGTGTATTCAGCACTGGGAACATGCGCTGCATGCGAGAACGTGTCGAACACCACTCCACCACGATACCTGCCACTGCTTTCAGCCTGTTGACCAGACCACCTGGTCTGAAAGACTAAACTTACAGGCTGACTGGACTTCACTGTACATAATTTGTGCATTTTTTTGTGCATACTTTTTTCTAAGGGGACATTGTAATTACCACACACAACTGACAACACCTCCTATTTTAAGATGTCTGATTTAAAAAAAGACCCCACAAGGGGACCGACCTGAAAGGGCTGAAAGAAACACAGACTGCACCAATTATTTGTGTTAATGTGTCATTATGGCTTGTCAAAAATTCCCCAATTGTCTCCAAACCAAACAGAGCTGATCTGATCTTCACTTTGAAAGTATCTGGTTGGGTAAAAAAATAAATAAAATAGTCTCAAAAGAAAATGAATGTAAACCCAATGTGCCACCCACAAACTCAAACTGATATCGTACATGTGATTTGTGCATTTTGATACGTCCTCGTTTACAGCACTGTAATAAAAAAGTGAGGTATTTGCTCAGATCATGTTTCTGGGAAATAAAACATTTGTGCACGACAGCCTCATTTTGATTGACATTTTATTGCGATCTGTCACATTGATGAATCTTCTCTACGTCTTCAAAACTAAATTTACTGCAGCATCAGTTAGTGGTTTAATCTCTGTGAACAGCAGGTGTCTTAAATTCATCTCAAATAACACACAGCTCCTGACGTGCTTGAACGGAAATTACAAAGTGTTGGTTGCGGGCTCAACTTGCAAAGCAGTCGAGCCATTTACTGACTGCTGTTTGTCATTTCCTCCCCCTCTGACCCTTAAACCCATCAATGAAACGGAAGCCCTCCTTTGCCTTGACGGGAAAGTCAATTATCTATTCCTGGATGAGGTGATTAAAGATAAAGGAAAGTTTGGATGCGGGGTTTTTCCAAGTAGCTCACTTATGACACATGGTTGATAAGACATTTACATTGAATTCTAACAGTCATTCAGGAGGGGCCATAACTAAAGTGCTACTTCCTGGAGCACCATGTTAACCAACAGTAAACATCGTTAACCAATAGGAAGAAAAGGCCCAGTCATGGCTTCAAACTGGGTCGAGGATTTTTTCCCCCTAAATGAATAAAAGTAATCAATATTGTATGTAAAATAATGAATAAAAGCATACTGCTAGTGGGCCTCATTTCGCTCAAGGGCATTTAAATTTTACGTTTTCAAAATAGATTTATGAAGTTGTCTCTTTGTTAAGTTTTTCCTTCACTCGAGTAAAGCAGAATAAACAGCCTATTTATTTGTGGATAGCAGCTACATAAAACTGTTTTATTCAAAACTTAATGTGGCTTGTGTTCAAATTTTAAAATAACCCGACCTTCAAACTCACTCTTGTGTTTTCCCTTTTTAATTTTAGCGCGAGCTCTAAAGCACAATTTCGACAGGCCCCTTGAGCCATGAAACAATCCGTCATTATCGTTTAAATTGGTGTTTTTCTGGAATGCATTTTCTGCCTCACCTTTCAATATTAATATTAGTTCACTTATCCATAGTGGATACGATGGAGAGCCACAGTATCTTCATACCACACTGTCCCATGTTCTCTGCTCCGCTACAGGGACTGCACCCTGAGGCAAGATGCTTGCCTGCCACACACACACACACACACACACACACACACACACACACACGACAAGCAAACTCAACAGAAACAAGCAAAATCCATGTGTAACTTAACATAGTGCCATCATAGATTTTTATTAAACTATATGATAATAAACCATTTTAATGCCATTTCTGGCAGCTCATTGCATCAGCAGTTGTAGCCTCTACAGCAGAAAAAGGCGTCTGGGCAGAGCCAGTGCAAGAAGAGGAAAAAGGGGAAGAGTCTCCTGGACAACATGGGAGCACTCAGTATACCACGACTCACTTCAGGCATACTGCAACCAACAGAGGAACAAGTCATCAACACAAAGAGACATTATGTTCAAGTAAATGTAAGAAAATACCGTGTTACTACTGCACACCTCCACGTATGCTGTTCAACTCCGAGCCAAAATGTACTTATCAATGGTGAAATTACACCAATAATAATAATAATAATTCAGACACAATACAAAATGTAAGAGTGGATAAAACATTCAATTAGAAAAAACAATTTTTAAATGAAACAAGAAAAACAAAAAAAACAAAAAACACTGAAAAGTCTGGTGCACTACCAAAAATACTCCCACAGTCAATGGACATCCAAACGCAGCCTGAGGCCAAAGATTCAGCAGTTTCACACTTTCAAGTATTGATGTTTCATCATCATATCATGAAAAACAAAATTGACCCATAGAGGCAAAGTGAAATACAGTAAAAATCTAAATGACCTACAGCGCAAGATAGTTCAGAAACACAGAAACAAAAACTACAAAAGTCATTCCTCGGACAAAGATCACAGTTCAGAAAGGAAAAAGGACAAACCAAAAACCTGAAGGATCCACACATCTTCATCGTCCAAATTCAACTGAAGTACATCAAGTGGTGTGCAGCATATATCTCGAGACAGACAGAGGCCTTCACTGACACAGGGCATCAAGTCCTCACACTTCATAAAACAGCTTTTACTCACAAAAGGAATCAACCATTAAAAACACGTTGGCAACAGTTTATACGGGGAACACTCTCCATGCTGACAGACACGTGACCGACGTCTCGACATAGACGAAACCTGCGACCTGAATAAAAATGACTCGGCGCTTTTGTAAGCCTTTAAAAAGACGAAACTCACTTCATCACACAGGATGATATGGCTGCTGCAGGTTATACTATTGCTTTATATTAATATCCCCACAAGGTCAAATTATGGTTTATTAGAGTGCAATGACTGAGGACTATTATTTCATCACAGCTTAGATTATACTTATCGGTATTTCAAATCTCTTATCTTTAAGAATCACGAGCTGCAGCAGCAGCAGAAGCCTAGAAAACAAGGCCAGTCCACTGTGTGCTTGTCCTTGACCTAGTTAGTCAAACATGTCTGTTAGTGGAGAGAGAGGAATGGTCTGAGCACAACAACCACTAACAGGTGCTCATTCATGGTTTATGTTGATGTTTTAAAGAAGAAACGACATCTTCCTATTGTGAGAGACATTGTACATTTGAAGGACTTCGGGATATTACGTCATTACGTTGTTTTTTTTAAAAGAGCTAGGTCAGATTTCACCGACACGTGCGATTGTATTTGAGTAAGATATTTTGGTGCTGATCCTGGAGGCTAAAAATAGCAAACAATCTGCCAGACAGTGCAAAGGGCTCAGTGGTCCGCGGCACCCGCCGTCTTCGTTATCGCATCAATGACGTCGGCTTACTCGCCCCGCTATCATCAAGCCTGGATTACGGCCATCTTCTAAATTACTTTTTTGGAGTCGAATCTATTCTTCAATCTCAGGCAGATGGCCATCTGGCCCACTGTAATCGCCCCCTTTCCCTCGTCTCCTTGCGACGATCTCCTCCGACAGATGTTGAACTGCATCAGACCTGCTGATTAACGAGGACAGCCAGTCCAACGAGGCTGAGAGACGGCGGTAAGCCGTGCTAAACTCCACACGTCCATTCAGGAATCCTCTCCACCTGCTCCCTGTCAAATGTCAACTTCAAACTACGTCTACAATCCATCAGTGGATCAAACTACAACTGTGCTTCAACAGGATCGTTTCCAATTTAGTGTGTGTGTGTATATATATATATATATATATATATATATATATATATATATATATATATATAAAAAAAAATATATAAGAGACCACTCGTTCACCTGAAATTATTATGCCAAATTTGTTTTGAAGAAGAGGGCTTGTTTGCCTTCCCTGTGCCTCAGTGCCCTGTAGCAGGTTACATAACTGCCCCTGCCATCACTCAGCAGCCACATTAATAACCACCACAGCTGGAGGAGAGCTAGAATGCCGCAAAAACAGTCTTAGGGTTCAAATGAAAGACAGAGAAAGCGGGAAAGCAAACAGAGTGACATCTGGCAACAAGCAGGCAAAAAGCTTGGCTTCGACCTCTTCTTGGGTCCCGTACAGTTCTGTTCGGTCCAGGCTGGGACAGACTCCACGTTTCATATCCCTCATGCAAAAACTGTTCCTTTCTCCCGTTAAATTGGATTCCCAGGATTTGGAAAGTAGTAAGAGTAGAGATGTAACAGCATGTTAGGGGAGGCGAGATTACAGACATCTTGTGACAAGGCACTTGCGCTGGTTAAGAGAGGGAGAGGCTGGAGAGGTATAGGGGGAGTAAGGGGGAGGAGGGACAAGGGCCCTGAGCGAGAGCACTATGCTGTAGAGTCATCCTCTCTATGGAGGGTAAGGTTTGACTCCAGACAGAGAGGTCCAGCAGGACGGCAGCCGGAGGGAGGGGTCAGCTCACCACCTTCAGCCCAGGCAGGGTCCACTGATGTGGGGTGCAGTCAGAGTGACACACTCCCTCGTGGGATTGTCAGGCGCTGATGAAGCGACATCTCCGCTGGAACTGAAGCAAACACAAACAGACGGGCTGACAAGTGGAGTTAACGGCTGGTGTCACTTTGAATCATGGACACGAGGAGCTGATGTAATTCATGATACGGAGCTAAAGGCAGCCTTTACTGCACTTGCCAGGTTATCTAGAGACCATGCGTGTTTGGATATTAAATGATTCTAGTTTATGGTTGCAGTGCTTTCAACCAGTCAGACACTCGTCAACCTTTAATGCCTTTATAACGCCTTTACATGTGAGGTTTAAAGGGGACATTTCATGCTCATTTGTAAGTTCATACTTGGGTTTCTACAAGAAACGGTCTTTCTGAATTTTCCTGTATTCATCCTCTTGTCTGAAAACGCTCTATTGTAGTAACCTCCCCCCAAAAAGACAGTGTGCTCCGATTGGCCTGCGAGAAAAATATGGAGCACCTTTGCAAAGTTAAATCTCAAGCTCTGGGTGGAGGCCGGGATATTCTAAGGAGCCTGCCTGCATGTGACATATAGGAAGGGGAGCAACATCTGAAGTTCAACCCGGTCATGAACTCTAAATTTCAAGCTCTCCCTGTACATAAAATGATTTCCAGGTTCATGTAACAAGGGAAGAAAACAGATTTAGGTTTAAAACTGTACAACTCCCAAAGCAGAGAGAAGGTATAGCTGCACCACATGATTACTTCTCCTCAGATCAAATTAGGCCGTTGATGAATCTGTGCAACCGAGACTAATGTGCCAGGTGTAAACACAATGAGTTCTCACTAATACAGGACCCTCCTATTCCTATGCCATAAGGCAAGCAAAATAAAATTACAACTTGAAGTCTGGAATGCTTTTAGGGAGGAATATAAAGTATGAGAAACCAGGAATAACTAGATGATGTGCCTCTGACCCGGATTTCAAGCCTAATCAATTTGATCCTAGATTTAAAAACTAGATAGCCAAAAGAACAACAACATTTAACTCAATAACATATAAGAAACGATAAAAAGACTTACAAACTCTGAAAAGAAAATATGCTTTTATAGATGTCTTTAATTACGTCATTATTTTGACCAAGTTGTTAAGAAATGACCCACCAGATATGGATGACCCAGTTCTGAAAAGTGTTGTAGGAGTCTGTTAGTTAGCTTCATTATATCCAGACAGTATACACGCTTCATGACAAAGAAAACTCACTCCACAGAATATGGGAAAAATAAAATGGGAAAACGAAACTTTGAGATTTCAAACGAGAAATGGTACGACTATTGTGACTTTCAATGTAAGTGCACCAACTCTCATACATGTAGAGGATTTTGATGGAAGTGCCTAATTGGATTTTTTTTATTAGCCCAAAGCAGAAAGCACACTTTACAGGAGAGGATTCAAAGTGCTGGAGACTGAAGGAACCAGGATGCCCGAGAACAGAGATCTATAAACCAATACCAGTGCTATAATCTGAGGGTTTCAACACACAAACAACTATTCAAAATGTGCGAAACAAAATGAGCTAAATTCATGTCATGTGCATTTTATATTCACTGGTAATTGAAACCATGTCAGTATATGTTTTCTGCAGATGACCCTAAACCTAAGCCACGACTCACTCGCGTAAACACTGTCTGCTTTATTAATCACTATGAGAGAGACAAGAAGGGGTTTGTGAGAATCAAGGCTGATTATAATTTCATCTTTTGTTGCTTTAAGGGGAGCTCATGTTGTCTTTTAGAGGAGCTCAGCCACTCTATAATTTGAACCCTTATAAAATGAATTTGACTCACTGGAAGACACTGAACTCTCCGTTTTTCTGATTGTAGAAGCGTTAAGCACTTTCTCTTCCACATAAAACGTTTACAATACCATTCAAAAAATAAAAAGGATCCAGCATTATCCCATGTGTACAGATATTTATTTTTGCAGAAGGAAAATCCCCAGTGCCAGCTTCTAGACAAAAGGTTCTGAACGTATTTTGCCACCGCACACAGTGAGAAGCAAACTATTTGGAATGAAATTCACAAGGTACTTACAGAGAGATGTGGACAGCGTTTTATCTCCTGGTGTTGCTGCTAAAAGACGTCTGAGGGCTTTTGTAGTTAATGTTCTCGTACACACTGGACAAATCATCATTTGTCATCCTACAACAGCACACAGCAAAAAGATTCGCTGACAAAACAATTCAACGACTCCAACCCATTTTCTGCTTAACGTTCTGCGATCAAAAGTTCAGTCATCATGTCAGCTGCCACTTTATCATGGTGTGCATCATACTTACACAGAAGAAGAGCGCGATGATGTCATGTTGGGCTTGGGCCTCGAGTTGGTCATCTGGGGGTATTTGATATTGGAATATTCCCCCTCCTTCAACTTACTCCTCTGCAAAGTGACAACATGACTCAGACTCAGTTCAGACTAGAAAGCTCTCACTAACTGTCTTTTATCTAGAAGACCTGGATTTATCTTTAAATAGTCCCATTACTGTGTATTTCAATGTCTTTGGAGACGCCACTGTAGTACAGTACCTGCTCCTCCTCCAGTCTCTTCTGAGCCGTGTCTATGTGCTGCTGCACAGCCATGTAGATGAACTTATACTGGGCCTCTGTCTGCACCATGCCGGACCTCTGCTGCCTGACCCTCTGGATGGTCTTCGGGACGTCGATGTCACAATTTAGACCTGCACACGTACATACGCACACAAGTTCAGAAAATGAGCAGAGATGCAGTACAAAGATTTAAAAATAAAAAGTGTGTAAGTTTCATATTGCAGTCTCCCACCTTGGCGGTTAATAACGTCAATTAGGATGTCAATGACGATAATGGTGCCTGTCCTGCCGATGCCTGCACTGCGGGGACAACAGAATAAAGAGCGGAGCCGAGTCGAGTCAAACACTTTCAGGAAATAAGAGAAAAATCAAACTGCATATTTGATTTGATCCAAATAGTTATAAAGAGTGTCACATAAGCGTCAAGACCTTTCCCAACCCATGGAAGTGACACATGAAAGTCTGAGGTTATGAAATATATGTTTTCACTTGCTAACAGCAATAAACTTGAATTTGTTGTTGTGTCACATATGAAATGCTGTCAGAGCCCCTCGAGAACTCAGTGTTGTTTTCCCCACAATAACATTAATCTATCAGCAGCTGACGGATCAGTGAAGGTCATGACTCCAATGTGTTCTGTCAGTCTGTCGTCATGGGGGCGGGGTGAAATACACGAAAGCACACCAAATGGAAACATCTATTGCAACATTAACAAGGAAAAAGAGAATGAAGAGGCTTTGATGCTGCTGCAGTGTTTGTTGATGTATGTGAATGCATTGATATTATTATCAATATTCATATCTTGTGTTGAGCATTCCATGTGTTCCATTTGATCTTATTTATATTTAATCAAGTGTGTGTTATTTTCCATCTCATTTAAAATGTATTATTCTCCTTTATTGTAAAGCACTTGTGCTGCATTTATTGTATGAAAGGTGCTATTCAAATAAAGTATTATTGTCATCATCAGTCACCTGTGAAATAAATATCAATACAAATACAAAAATTCTGACTCCAGCACAACTAAACCAGATCGTGCTATTTCAAATAGTTCCTGTGGATTAGTGAGCGGTCATGCTGACATCTACATGGAGCAATAGTAAACTGGGAAAAGCAGAGCTTTCTCTGACTGTTACTTGAAGTAACATACAGCTGCAGGTGGCAGGAGGTTAAAGGTTAAATAAAGCTAATAAAGAATGTGTTTGTACTACTTTACTGATAACCATGTCTTCATAATTAGTTTTGATGGTGCTAGTTTGGTGGAGACGTATTGCCAATAAGTAGGACAAAGTGTAATTATAGCACACCCAAGTGGCCAAATGAAACCATATTTCATGAAACCATATTTCATGAAATCCTAATTTCATACATTCATGTAGCGAGGCAAGTTTCCAGAGTCCACAATCATTTTGCCATCTCATGGAAAGTTGAGTCAACACAGGGAAGAAGAGCAAACAGTGACCCACAGAGGGGTTTACCCAAATGGGAAATTCCTGCCCGGCGTGCACACGTGTGCATGTGTGTGTACACAGATGGTTGCACACAAGATGGGATTTAACTCATTGCCTTTTAGATTAGATTCAACTTTAATGAAAGGTAGACTCTGGTCTGGGTCTCAAACACACAACTTTTGAATCACTTCTCCTGTTTTTAACTAGATGTGCCACAGAGCCACGTATCTCTTTACATCTGCTGAAGAGTCGTGTTGGCAGATCACCTCTACTTCTACCTGACCCAGCAATAATTAACTTATGACCAGTTTCTTTATTCCCAACTGGTTGTACCTGCAGTGGACGACGATGGGTCCAGTGTCTGGAATGGTACTCTGGGTGCGGTTGACCTCCTCTAAGAACCAGAGGACGCCGCCGGGCTCATTGGGGACCCCGTGGTCCGGCCAACTCAGGTACTGGTAGTGCCAGATGTACCTCAGAGGCTCACTCTGCAAGAAAATCACAGCAAAGTAAAGATGATGAGCTGAAGCTGTTGTAATTATATTGACTTTGGGTATGTACCATGTATTCTGACATGACTTCCTCCTGCTTCCTCTCCATAATGGATCTGCAGTGCTCATTAAAAGGCTTACTGAAAGGAATACCGGTCTAAATCCACAATTCCAAGCATGGTTTCCTAAGTTTAGCCAAAGCTAATACGATGCTTCAGTAGTTCGGTTTAGCCTATTCAAGTGTTTTTCCCCCCCAAATCAGAGTCACTATTAATGTCCATCTTTGTGTTGGCTTGGACTGGCTGTACTGTAATGGAGGGACACTCTCTGGTGGCCACATGCAGGCTTTGTTGCTGTAACTGTTATTGTCGTAGCATTGCAATTACGCCAGTGATAATGAGTAGCCCTGAATGCTGGAATATGTTTTTGAGCAAAATGAGAATTGTAGTTTCTGTCCCCAATTTCTTACAGTGGTCTCATGCTGAAGGACCAATACATCCGACCAGTATAAAGTAAAGGATTACAACAGTATAAAACACGCCTCATCTCAGTGAAACTAAATCTCTACACTGTGTGGACCTGAACATGCAGAAACATGAAAGGACGACACTGTCCACTCGAGTCTTCTGCTTTTACAGGAGATCGACATGTGATACGTCAACAAACTGGTGATGGTAGCTGTCGTTCACCTAAACACAAACATTAAGGTTGGATAGAAGCATCACTTGGGGGAACTCTTTGCAGCCTGCTGGGTTAATCTTAGACAGGCTTGGCAGACATTACACATCAATATCAGTTCAAACAGATTAACTGCTGTGATCAAAGCAACAGCTTCTATACAGAATGGATTGGATAGACACTGTGCACACAACAGCCCTTAGTTTGCTCCTTATTGTATTCATGTATAAAATAATAACTCTAAAGTCAAATGTATTTAGATTTTATTCACTAGAGTGCAAGATAATCTCGGCTACGTTGTCTTCTGCTATCTACCATTTGCTCTATTTGCTTGTCATGAGATGCGTGCAGTCGATCCTCTAGTAAACACAAGCACGTGCTGTAGGATTGTGCGTGTGATGGGTTGGATAATCTGACCGCAGGTCAGTGGGTCAACTCTGAGTACACAGCTTTCCCTACCCGGTCCAGACGGGTCACCTCCAGCTTCCTCAGGACGTAGTCTTGTGCCTGCTGCTCGTCCACGTTCCTCACCAGCACCTTCCCAAACTCCTTAGTGCCGTGGAGGTCGGGCCAGTAACGGACACATTTGTTCTAAATCGGAGGAAAAACAGAGAGAGAGGAAGATGGAGAGGGCAGAGAGAGGTCGGTGGGTATTAGACAATCAGAAAAAAAAGAAGAAGAAGCAGCTCAAGCAGCTTTCCAATCAGCTTAACTGTCATACTATCCTTGTCTGACACATGGACATGTGCATGCACGCACTGCTGCTGCTCTGCACTTTGTGCCTCAACAATCTGGTTGTTAAGGCACCTTCTAGATTAACTACACTTGACTAGTGAAATGGATTTCATGTCATAGAAGTGGGGTGTTCCCTTGAGTTCCTTGAGTTCCTTGATTTCCATCATTACAAGCAACCAACAGCAATGGAGTAAGGAGTGCAACAGAGAGACCATTTAGGATTAAATGCTTGAGAAAGCAAACATGAAAGAGTTAGGGAGAGAAGAAGAAGCTCCTTGCTAGGAAATATAATGCATAGAAACATTTCTACTTCCTTAATTTACCTTTCTAGTACAACATAATGTATACAGATCATTATATTTTACAGGCCCTCAGCTGAACTATAATAACGTACGTTAGCAGAAGTTTAGTGCCAGTTGCTCACCCGATCTCGCTCTCTCTCTTTTGTGGTCATGACGATGACGTGTGTGTTCTCCTGATACACCATCTTCCAGAAGTCAACGACCGTGTTCTGTAGGCACCCTTGGGTGGCGATGAAGACTTTGCCCTCATCCACATGGCGCCCCTCTTCATGCATAGTCTGTACAGCAATGATACATTGAATTAAGCCCCGACACCGAGACAACTGAGTCACATTCACAGAAAATATAATTGGTTAAATTGTTACTTTTAAAATAGGTAGTTTATTTTACTGTATGATATATGTGTATCTCTGGTACTATTGACAATTCTTTTTTACGTGAAGGCGAACTATCTTGCCTGTTTACTGAACATTGTGTATTGCTGCCATCTTTTGGTAATCTGCAGCTGTTGATAAATGACCCCATCCACTGCTAAGAGAAGACTCACTCTGATGTAGTTGGCATTGATGTAGTCTGAACCAGGAACATCTGGATCTGCCTCCCTGAGTTCAACCCGAGTTGTGTCGACTGAAAACACAAAGTCAAACCGTCAATAACGCACAACAAAATGTCCACCGTTTCCTGAGATCACACTTGGTGGTTTTTTGTTTTCCAAACTAATGTCAATGTGAGCTACCAAAGCAACATCTCCACACTCTGCTGAGGCCTCTACGTTGTCTGATGTATATTTGTGTCGTTCTTTCCACAGGAAGTTGGAGAGACAGGAAATGGCAGGTTGCTGCGTGACTCACAGGGGAGGATATTCTTGTATCTGTTTTTACTCTTGTTTTCTGCCTTCTGGCCTTCTTTCCGGGGATACAGCAGCTTGCACTCCTGCTGCTGAAGTACCTGGTAGTTGAAGGTAGGTGAAGGAAAAATTAGAAAGTTAGACGTTTTTAATAAGACAGAGTTTAAAAGAAAAAATATGTGCCTATAAACTATTGATTCTGAGGTCACTCATTCATATTAGCCATATCCAGGCTGAAACATGACGTTTTAGACCTCTAGTAGCTCTATGGAGTAGACATTCCTGCCAATGGTTTCACACAATTCCCCTGATCAACAACAGGTGGCTGCAATTCAGCAGGATCTACAGCAACGCACCAACAACGACTGAGAAGAACACGAAACGCACAATTGCGCTTCGGTTTGGAGAAACATAATTACATAACGTAACATCATGTAGCTTGAGGTGCACAGGGCACATTTAATGCTGCGTTTGAAAAGTGTAATGGGCATTTAATGCAGTAGGGGTCACCCTGGAGTGTAAGAGCAGAAACACTGCATGCATTAGTTTTCAGGTTGCAGACTTAAGGGGAAGTGTTTCAGCATAGAGTCTAAAAAGCTCTTCTTTCATACCTTCTGCATTCATTCATTTTGGATGCATTTGTGCATTTATCTACAGTTGTTTAGCTGTCATAACATGAACAGTTATTTGCCCTCAATACAAAGCCAGATAGACCAGTTAATAGCTCATCTATCTAGCATAATATTGTGTACGTCATGTATATTGTGTCACCACACATGCACTTCGACACAGAGGATGCAGCAAGTCATTTAAATTCATTGGAATTGACTCAATAAAGTTTGTAACCTAGGGGCAGGAAATCCAACAAGCAGACACTGATCAGTAACTATGATGTTGTAGACAGACACGTAATGTAAAAACCAGGCATGGGGCCAGGCTTATGCACCGACACAATATATGTGATTCACATCTATGACCTGCCAGTTGCATGGAAAGAGCATGCCACAAGATAAGCTTCAACACCATTACGCAAAAGGTCAAGACCGCATAAATACATTTGAATTTCCCTTGATAGACAAGTAAACAAACAACTCACAGCGACGTAAACCTACACAAATAGCTGAGCAGTGGCCTACAGTATAATATGACATTTATATGACAAGACTGCTATGGAAATACCGTTTACGATGCCGTCAAAGTTGGAATTAAAACATCCCAGGGCAGACGGCACTCAAGAGAGTAATTTACTCATGTGCCTCAGTTATGACTGACTCATGTCATCCGGCACTTAACTTCATTTAATAAAGCTGTTGAACGCAGAGCATCTAAAGCTGACCTTCAGATATTTAAAAAAGAAAAATCACGATTGAAAGAAGTGATTCTGCTGCTGGTACGTTTGAGGCTACATACCTCAAATTCTTCCCAGAATCCTTGTTTGGGTTTTTCAGAGTTGTCTGCTACTTTGTTGAGCTCTCGTACCCGGTTCTCAATGTTTGCTGCATTTATCCTCGTGGCGTTAAAGGGCTGTCGTCACATTGGGACACGGAAATTAAATAAGTCAACAGAGCAAAACAAGAAAATACCATTTTCATGTGGTTTGAATTAACTACCGCCGACATGATACAGTATGCAGGAGATTGCCCAGACTCAATGCTTTTGCACCTCTTCCATACCTGTTTGAGGTGCACTACGATGCCGCTTTTCTCCACCATGGGGTTCTTCTTGTAGTGATCCACCAGGTCAGCCAGAGTGTCGAACCTCTCACCGCCGCCCACGTCGTATTTACCGTCCTGCTGGAGGGAAACATCAACAGTTCTAACTACAGTAACAGCTGGCCTGAGGAGTTCCTAGAGCGCATAAATAAATCAGGACCTGCTTCAAGTTTGCGGAGTTAGTCTGAGAGGTGAGGGAGAGTTATCTCACCTGGAAGCGGATCATAACGTGGGTGACCTTGGTCTTGCGGTCCACGTTCTCGTGTTTCTCCTCATTGGTGAGAACTGAGAGAACAAAGTCGCCCGGTTTACTCTGGCTCTCCCGCACCAGGAAGCTACCGGCTTTGCCTTTGTCTGTGAGCAGCTTCTCTGCATCTCGTCCAGACAGGTGCCCATGGTACCACCTGGCCAGGAGGGAGAGAACACATGAACCCTGAAACAATATTCAATGACAATCTGACAGCTTAAATTCCTGAACATGCAAACCAACAACTTGAAGGATAAATTGCTTATTTACACATCCAGAAGTTACTGAATCAGTTGGAGTCATGTTTCTGGCCAACAGTCCACAATTCATTCTCATTCTAGGTCTGTTTTTGACTCCTGAGGGAAACATCTGTCCCCTTTAGCTGCTCAATGCTTCACTAAGTTTACCAGCTGGCCTCTCACTGCGTTTGTCTGATGATTGGTGCTGAGCAGGTAGTGTACATTGGGTTTTAAAAGCTTTTTAGCTGTAAACATCTGCCTGTGCGGCCGAAAAAACACAAAGTTGCGGGTAGGACAGCGAAGCAATGAGTTGAAGCTCACCGCAAAGCTCCGTAGAGCCGAGGGGAGCTGCAGATTCAGGTGATAATTCTCTGTCACGTTACTTTAACACTGTCCTTTGATAATATTATTATTGTAAAAATATGAATTACAGCCACTTAAAGTGATGCCGAGGACATTCAGGATCAAAACCCTCAAAAAAAAAGAAAATATCTTCAACCATTTCAAAGACACTGAGCATCAGTGTTGATTATTTCAGACTGGCTGCTTTCACCGTCTCCGTTTTTCACCTTCTGTGGAGATCGAGCAGCTCAGCCTAAAGCTAGATGCTGTTGCAAAGCAGACAAATTGTTGAGACAAGGAACAAGAGTTGAGAAGGAAACTTGACCAACTGAGGGGGAGGATTAGCAATCTACTTCCTGCCTTAGGGGGAAAAGGTCCCATATTGTTGCGTTGGGGTTTAAGATAATGTCTATCTACAAGTGCATTGTGAGCGTAGACTCCTACTCGAGAATGAAAGTGTCTCTTGAATTGCTGCAGCCTCAGTCAGCTGCTGATGTTACAGTAAGATGAACAACCTGCATGTGAGCATATTCGGATCTTTTTTTTTTTTTCCTGTGTGGTGAGCAATGATGTGTAGGAGGCTCTGACAAGAGACGTATGTAGAAACCACACAAACCGTAGATCACAAGTTGTTCTTAGACCTACATGGAAACATAGATTATACACATTGCAATGTGCAGATGTGTAGAAGGTGTACATAACCTGCTCAGTATGAGATGATACCAAACACAGTTGAAAAGTGATGATTTGCTAATGATAATATGATCATGTCCTCCTGTATGCATGGATTCCTGGCATTAAGACAGCAGCTGCCTTCGACTCCCTCTGAAGGAGCGTGTGATGAAGTGTAGAGCTGCGTCCAACATTTGTAGAGTCTCTGGAAGGACGATAGCGTGTGGATACTTTGTGAGCAAAAACAAAAACAGCAGTGCAATCCGCTTAGTTTGTTTGAAGATGCATTCGGGTATTTGCCACTATTTATGCATGTGGACAGAAGTGCATGTGAGTTTTACGTGTGGGAGTGCATGTGTACAGAATAATGCATCATCCCTACAAACAGCGCGTGTGAACACATGTATGTATCGGTACATAGATAATGTAATGGCTGATTCTTTCCTATTCCCCTTCTCTGAAACAGTTAACTGGTGATGTATGCCTGTATGTATGCCAATATTATACTCTAGCGCTCAACTGAATTGCATTGTAATGATCATGTTGCACTAACATTTACAAATTCTGTTTCTAAAATTGTTGATGAAACAGTATGTATAAAATAATTCAATAATTTGTTTAAAGCTGCACTATCTCATATTTTTACAGTTACAATGGATCAAGTGATCATGGGCCCTATTTGAAGGATCTTTAGTGGCACAAGTGTATTTAGGGATTGTCCTATGCAATTTGTTAGTAAACCGTGCATAACCACACAATGGGGTTGTATTTAGTCTCTTAATTAATCATAGGTGTGTTTTGGGCATAATATGAATTAAACCAGTGTCATCTCCCATTGCAAAGCCAGGTGTGTCTGCAACTGGCACATTGCTATTTAAATGGCGGAATCCACAAATTGGAGAAGTGAGCCGTTTTCTGCTGTGAAATTATTGTTATTGTTTGATAAAAATATGTTGTGGAATTTGGAAATGATTACATCCATCTTTTATTTTTCTTTTGACTAGAATTTGAATCTCAACGTTATGAATGAAGCGTCAAAGCTTCGAACTATTCGGTACAGCCTTAGAATAATTATGAGTTTATGAGGAAGGCAGTCCGTTTACTCAGTTTCACTGTCTACTGACGGGGGTTGATGAATCTGCGGCCTGGCGCTGCCGGAGAGGAGATGAGTAATGCACGAAGACATCAGCTTTAAAACGCCACCGGGGGAGCGGGCCCGCGAACTTTGAAGTAGCCCACTACCACACTCACACTCACACACACACACACACACACACACACACACAAGGAGATGCTGAGATCGGACAGAGGCGTGTGTGCACCGTCCACACAAGGCATGAAAGCAGCACTCCTTGACTCATCAATGACACATTTTGTTAGAAGAAACTGTGTGGGGTAAGTCTCCTAGTGTGTGACAGAGGATTCTGTGTTTGTCTTGAATAGAAACATTTCCACCACAAATATGTGCATAAAATTAATTTAAAAAAAAAAAATCACCAGAATGCAGGAAATTAGGTGTTTGACGCTAAAATTTTGTTGTGAACCCTCATATGAAGGAAAATCTTAATATACGAAGTAATTTCCCTTTAAATAGCAGGAAAATACTGCATCGCTGACTTTAGATTAGTTTTTACAATCATGACAAAATCACACAAAATGTTCGCCCAACTCTGCAGTTCTCCTCAGCCCAACAGAGAGCCTATATCAGCCCATTGTTTTCCGGCACGCAACTTCATTGCCCCGGCAGACTGCTGTTTTCAGCTCCTGTAATTCCTCTATAAGATATTTATCCCTAAACAGAAGACAAAGTAAGCAACCAGCATGTGAACATAGTGGAGTGTAACAGCTAACAAACAGGATACTTTTCTGGAGCTGGTGGAGACCAAAACAGAGCTAAAAGGATATTTGTTTTTCAAGTTTTACACATTTCTTCAATGTACCAACAGTGGATATTTCACTGCAATACATATCATTTCATATGTGATCTACCATATAGTGATATGGATGAGGAAAATATTTGTATCAATATTGTGATATTAATTTAAACCATATCAACCAGCCCTGTAGTGATGATGTTATATATTTTACAGCATGACAACACTGAAGCTGTCACAATCTGGTCAGGGAGAAAGTTATATGCAGCTGTAATGAGGTTCGATATAGAGCTGACCTCAGATGTTTGTGTCTATCTGAATGCATTTCTCCACAGAGCGCTGCTTAGCTGTATACAAATGTGAACTCATTAGCACGTCTAGGTGTTGGTGTTTGTCGGCACCTCTCAGAGGTCGGGTCCTTGCAGTTTAGTGGGTACTTGAGCTCGATGACATGGCCGTTCCTCTCACGCAGGAGATCCTGTTGTTCGGTGTAATACTGCACCAGCTCGGCCAGCGTGGCGAACTTCTCGCCTCCGTACAGGTCGTAGTAGTCACCCGAGTTCTGGATCTTAATGTGGGTCACCTCATCGTTGCGCCTGCGTGGGAGAAAGCGCAGCGGGAATTCATCGCTCAGTTAGTTACCGTGCGTGTAGACAGAGGTGGACTCGCACCGAAGGAGCACTCAGAGTTTTTCTCTTCGTGTTTTCCTCTTGTTCACTTGCACCCTGCAGATAACAGTGACACACACACACAAACAGCCACCCACACACATGTTCTCATGCTCACGCAAACAAAATCAAGACCGTCCTGTACACACTTTGTCGCCCACACATACTCACAGAGCATAAATTCATATACAATAGAACATGGCAAGCTTATCGAGCCATCTGCTCCCGTTTTAGAACTCTGGACCTCATTTTCTTAAAAGCACGTTAAGTAATCTGCAGATGTGGCGACATCATTCCATCGGTCGCTATTCTTACACTAATCTACCGTATTCTGTGTGCGACACGTTAAATTCTCTGCAATACTGGAGCACTTCTTGCAAAGCTGAACACACAGTATAAATAATTATAATAAGGATATAACTGTTAAACATAAAAGAGTAACTGTGTCAACACTGGAATGATAAAATGAGCCACAAGCTACTAGAGGAGAGAAAATGCAAGGCGTCGAAGCCGCAGTGATTTAAAAACACTGATCCATTTTACCACCAAATATTTTTCCCTTTGACTTCTATAAACAACACAAATCTTCTCATAAGGGATCATCCCTTCTTGTTAATACTCTGTCGTTTTCATATCTAATGTATTTGGAGGAAGGCTGTATCGTGATTGCAGAATAATGCAACAGAGATGCACGCAGCTGCCGAGCTCAAAGACTGATAAGCCACAAAACATTTGGTAGGCTTCTACTTTGCATATTCAAAGTCCTCTGACTGGTTTGAATAGACGCACGCACGCACGCGCGCACACACACACACACACACACACACACACACACACACACACACACAC